GCAAAGGTTCTCCAAGGTGCCTTGTGGGTGAACGAGCTGCCCGTGGGTACCGTTTCAACGTCCAGAAGGCCTCACCGCCAAACACTATGTGATTGCAGCGCAATGTTGGCCCGCAAATCAGAGCCATATGTAATGGCCCAGCGCCGGAAACGTGGGGTGTCTCGCGGGTCTCGGTGGGTGCGGATTGCAACCCCGAGCCAGTCAAAAGCGGGGCAAAAATTCTAGATCTTCCGTGGCTGGGTGCCTCGAGATGTAGAGTACACGGTACCCGTGCCTTCGAGCAAAAACAGCAACTCGACACAAGCGAGGTGGAGCAGCGACGAAACAGTCTAGCCGTGCAAGAGCCGACCCGAAGCACTCTAACGCCCCTGATCGTACAACCATGCTCCCCATCGTCAGGCATGCGCTCTTAGTACATGGACCTGTACCGAGGTTGCACTTTGCTGCCGAACAACAGCGACGATCCCGATGCCTCGCCGCAGGATCCAGCAGGTGCAGTGTTGCTGCTTCAAGTACGTGGCACAACGGTGACGCTTCTAAACCTTCTATAAGCGTTCCTGCAACAGTCTTCTCGGTCGATATTAGTACTCGTGAGGCTGGGCGATCTTATGCGACTCGCCATGTTGGACTCCTCCAGCTGTTTCCACCGTTGCATCCCAAACTTCAACAACTAGGAAGATGGCTTCACGCGACGGGCCAGCCATTATTCCTCATTTCACCCCCGCCCTACCATCCATCGACATGGACCCGTGGTGCGCAATGGAGTCGCCCAAGGTGGCGCCCGCGAACAAAGGCCCCGCTGCAACGACTCTCGCACCGCGTGTCCGACGCACCTTGCCCCTCCTTGGCAGCGTCGCATGCTTTCGAACGCTGCCACAACTGGCCGTCTACACCGAGAAGCACCAAGCGCTGGCGTTTCTCGATACGTGTCTTCGCGGTGTCGGTCAATGCAACTTTCAAAACTCACCGCTCTCGGGGCTTCTCTTCCTCGTCGCGCTCGGCCTGTCGACCCAAGGGCTGCGCATGGTTGCCTTTGCACTGCTCGGCGTTGTGTCAGCGACAGCCTTCTCGTGCCTCATGGGCCTGGACCGAAATTTGCGCGCCGCCGGTCTCCACGGGTACAACGCGACGCTGGTCGGGTGTGCGGTGCACACGTTCTTCACGGGTGATGCGTACGGCGTAGCGAGCCTCGTCATTGTACTCCTATCAATTCTCAGCGTGCTCTTGGCGACGGCGACGGCTTCGGCACTGCCGCCCGGCCTTCCAACCCTCACGTTTCCCTTTCAAGTGTCGATCTGGATCTACGCGCTCTCGACGCAGCTCTACCCGAGTCTTCAAACCATGGCGTTTCCAGCACCCCGCCTCGTGCTCAACTCGACGCTCTCGACTGCGTCCTACGACTCGGCTGCGATCGCCCAAGCCGTTTTCTCTGGGATTGCCGAGACCTTCCTCGTCGGCGACTGGTTCCCGGGTGTCGTCATGCTGCTAGGTATTTTCCTTTGCTCGCCCATGAGCGCAGTCGCTGCGCTCCTCGCGTCAACGGCCGTGACGCTACTCGCCGTCGCCATGCAGGCACCGAGCGCGGGGCTTCTCCTCGGCTTGCACGGCTACAACCCCGTACTGAATGCGATCGCGCTCTCTGGCTTCTTCCTTGCGCCGCGCCATTGGCGAACGCTCGTGCTGGTGACGGCCTGCGTCGGCGCAACGTTCCTCTTCAACTGCGCGACGAGCTCGGTGTTTACGATTTTGGCGCTCCCGGTGCTCACGTGGCCCTTCACCATCATGACGTGGGTCGGCCTCTTGGCGTCGCAGTCGATGCCTGACCTCTCGCGCATGCCACTCGCCGACCTCACGACGCCCGAAGACCACTACGAGGCGCTGCATCGCTTACCCAATGAGAGCGCCGCTTAATTGAAATGCGTACTTGCGTGTCGTTTAACTTGAACGTGTAAATGAATAGTAGAAGTATGTTTAGCCTCTTTCATGTACACGCATTCGAATCCCATGAATGTATGAATATCCAGCTACGCGCTACGCTTTCCATGCTCTGGGCACGAGACGGTTCGGTTGGGAAATAGCGTAATTCCGGTGCATTATTGCGGTACAACATTTGTGTCATTCCGAGTCGCTTGCGGTTGGTGCGTGATGGAGGGCGTTTTGACAAAGTCCATTTTTAGCGCCCGTGGTGAAGGCCATGGGGAATGGCGCGTCAACGCGGCCACAAGCGGGAGGCCAGCCTCCGACCGAGGGCTCGCCGAATCCCCGCCGGTCGTTCAACTTTCAGCGCATGCAGGAGCTGTACCAGCGGCTCTTCTCGACGCCGGCCAACCCCAACGTGATTCCTGTACGTCGTCGTCGTTGGCATCGTCTTCCCATGCCGGTGCTATCACCAGGTACTGGGCTCCGACTGGTATACGCAAGTCGTCTTGGCCGCGTCGCCCAGCCAGCGCTCGAGCAGCTGCGACTTGGTGCTCACCAACCTTCGCAACAAGACCGACGCCGCGCTCTCGTGCGTGCAGACGTATTTAGATGCAGCGCAAAGCGAGTACCCCAAGATTTTTTACGGCGACGCTGCGATCGACTTTGTGCTGAGCTGCTCGATGCTGCAGCCGCTCGACGTTGCGAGCAGTGTCGAGTGGCCGACTTTCAAGACCATTTTGCCTGGCGTCTTGCTCTCTCGCCACTCGGTACTGACGTCGCCGTTGCGCTACGAGTACTGCTCACGCACAAGCTAGGTGCTCGATGTTCAGCTCGGCTATGCACAAGTCGTCGTCGCGGACGGCATGGAGCCGGGGACGCCACTTCTCCTGCATGTGCTCTACCGGCGCTACATCCGCGACAACCGCGTCATTCTTGTGCTGCAAAGCATCACGAATGACGAATTGTACACGATTGACCAGCGTCGCCTCCTCTGTCTCTCGGGATGGTACCTATATGTCTCTGTGTCATGCCGTCGACTAGAGTGGGGTAGGCTCGTTTTTGATCGGGTGTCGGATACGGTAACCCAAGCCCGCGCCATCTTGCGCTGCGAAGCCAAGCTCGACGCTGTCCCCGCAGCCATCCAAGTCAAAGACGAACGTCTTACCGTGCACACGCAGTGGATACTGCAAATTCTATCGGGCATCTACGCCCCCGTGGCCACCAAACTGCTCAACGCGCCGTCCAAACCCAACCTCGCGACAACCTAATTGCAGCGTGGACTCTAAATATTTCGAATCCAGTCGACGTCGTAGCGTGGTGCATTCCGTTCGTAGTATTGCGCTGCATGAAGTTGGCAAAGACGAACCCAGTGCTTTAGCATTCGTCCTACTAGTGCGGACTGTGTTCAAGTCGGCGCCAGCACTTGGTCGACAAAGAGATAGACCCACTTGCTACTTGGTGGTATGTCGGCAATCTACTGTCTCGATCGATCGTCGCACGCTCTTTGGATGGTATGCGTTGCACGGTTGTGGCAGCACCGTCGTCCATAGACACGGCTACTTTGAAACGGCGACAATGAATGGCCAAGAGGACGCGTCGCGTAATAAGGTAAACTCAACATTCACGTTGATATGGGCTATACAGCGCGTGGGGGCTACGAGGAACCTTCTTTCGCCGCCTTCTTCTTGGCAATCTTCTCCTCGAGCGCCTTCTTGTCGGCCTCGCGGCGCTGGAGCGGCGTCAAGTCGTCCTTGCGGCCACCGGCGCCGCCAGCCTTGGCAGCACGAGCTTGAGCTTTCTATAGAGATGCGCAGGACGTGAGCCATTGCATTGCATAAGCGCTGTGAGGCGAAGACGTACCGCGCGGTCGCGGTCACGTTGGTCGCCACGGGTCATCGCTTTGTTGGTCGCAAAATCGAGAATGCACAGTCCGAATATTAGCCACTCACTATCCGAAAAGGATGTGGCATCCGAATCTCAGCGTAGAATTCAGGACTTTGGCCCGAAACAAGGATGTTTAACCCATGCGTTAAACCCATTTCACGACCCTTTCCAAAACCTTCGAACGGAAGGTTTGTCGGCAATCTCGAAAAACGTGATTACGCACACTGCCCCATCACTGTTATCCGGAAAGGACCCTCCAACCTTGTGAAGGAGCGCATGCAGGATCACCTCGCCCCAGCCACGAGTCTCGTATCTTCTCCTAGAAGCATGGGACTGTCTCGCTGTCGTGATCGGCTACCTACCCTTTAGCAAGTCCAAGAGGTGAGCTACGTTCTCTGTCGATTCGGCGCGCGGTACGACATCTCCATAGCTGTATATGTAGCGTTGCTTCCACCAAGATATAAGCTCCCTGGTAATAGCGTTTTAACCGTTTCATGCTGGTTTCTTTATGTTTTGTGATGAATTATATAAAATAAGTTAGCACAGCACCGTCTCAGCTCGACACCTGAGCCGTCGGGCGGGCAGGTAGTCGCCGGCCGCCACCGTGCTTGATGCACATGCCGCAGCTCACGGCGCCTTTGTTGCAGCCTGCGTAGACACAGCGCGGACCGCCTCCATGAGACACGCACAGAAAGCCACCGACAGCGCTCTTGCCGCAGCCAGGGCGTTGGCAACGCTTGCCTCCGCCGTGCGCAATGCATACGCCGCTCGAGACGGCCGACTTGGTGCAAGTAGGGACACTGCAGCGCTTCCCGCCGCCGTGGCTGACGCAATAGCCGCCCGCGAGCGCCGATTTCGAGCATCCGAGAAGGGAACAGCGCTTTCCGCCTCCGTGGGCAATGCAAAACCCGCCTTCCTTGGCAGACTTGGAGCACGCAGTGTGGCCGCACCGCTTCCCGCCGCCATGCGCGATGCAGTAGCCGCCCGACTTTGCGGTTTTCGAGCACATTTGCGCCCTGCAGATGCGTCCGGACGTCGTGACTGTGGGCTGGCGCAGCGCGTCGGTGGCGCCACTGGTCGTAGGCGACTGCTTGAGCGCAGCGATCGTGGCGGACGATGGCGGGTGGTCGGCGTGGCCAAGGCAAAGACCGAGGACCTTGGCGAACCGTCCGCACGCGTGTGCGCGGCACGGCCGCCAGGTCAGCGAGTCGAATTGGTACGTCTGGCGCATCGGGACCAAAATCTGAAATGCGCTCCGAAACCCACTCGGTCCCGGTGGGACAGATGTCTTTATCTCGCCGATCGGATTGGCTCCTCGAAATAATAAAAGATCGGCCCTTTCTGTCGAAACCGCCTTATGAGCCAGGTCCCACGCTTCGAAAGAGAGCCTCGTCGCTGCACCAACGGCAGAAGAAGCTTCCGCCACCTGCTCCTGAGTGACGTCGCCTTCATGGCGTCTACGAGCGTACGGTAGCATTCGCATGGAATAGCGGTCCTATCGTCCTCTGGATCTCGTCGCAAAGCAGCGAAACGCGAGGCTGTCGCTGGGATCGCGCCATGACGCGCCGCGCCCGTGGTATGATAGAGGCAAATGTTGACACCTGTGCTGCATCAACGTCCGCAAACGTGCCTGGAGGAATCATAGGTGGCACGCGCAGTTGCAGAGTTTGTGCTACGCAATGCCCACTGTGTAGGAATCGGATGACTCCACGGCTACGAGACGATACCACTCTGTGGGACGACCGTCCATGCAGCGAGTCATAACGTTCTCGTCGTTGCCACATGCTTGAACCAGTGTGCTTGAACCGCCGCCGCGAATGGAAGAAGGACGAGGTTCACCGAACCTACCACTCGAATCAAAAGACGCGGACGTCGGTCCGAACGCAAGGAACCACGCGAGCGTGATACCAGCAGCTGCCGGCAGACTCATCTGATCCTCGACAGAGTGGTGATTGACACATATCCATCACAAAGGCGCACCCATTTCGTGATGCAAGCACCCATTCGAGTGAAAAGCTGCACCGAAACGCAAAACCGACAGAGTGCCAACGACCGCCATGGAGGCCATGAACATGGATAAGATCGTGGCACTGCGAACGCTGATTGACACCAAGTTGCGCGACGAAGGCGTGTACGCGCAGCTTCGAAACCTCATTCAGGCCACGGCCCCAAATGCCCCCACCGACACGGACACGGTCGTCAACGGCATCCTGGAAAGCGACCTTGTGCAGCAGCTTATTGGGTCCTTGAAAACAAGTGCGGCGCCGACCACGGTATCCCCGACGCCAGAACCAGAATTAGCGGCACCGGAGGCACCTGCACCGACGCTGCAACTCCGGCTTCTCGGCGGCCGGGCCTTTGTCGAGTGCGTGACGAACCCGGAAAGCCACCGGTGTGGGTTCCGGGTCGAAGTGGCTTTTCTTGGCCACCGGTTCCAGTCGCGGGTTGTCGACTGCGTTCCTGAGCCAGCGTTTGACGAGACGTTCCACATCCCGCTACCAGCACCGACACCGTCCTCGACACTCGAGGTGCTTTCGAAATGGGAGGCTTTGTGCCGGCTGCGCGATCCGGTGCAGTTCACGCTCCTCAAGGTTTCGCAGGTACTGCATTACGTCGCATTGATAGTGCATATCATGCACCTCCGCTGATGTAGCATCTGGTTTTGTCGGGTGTAGGCGACAGGCGCGGTCGAATTTGTCGCCGCTGCCCGCGTCGACTGGCGCCGGGTCATGAGTTGCACCCATGCGACCGCGCACTTTCCGCTGCAGCTCCAAGGCCCGCTCAAGATACCGATCGGGCTCCTTGATGTGCGACTGGATCTCCTCGGGTTCCGGAAAAGCACCGCAGTTGCCCGTGACGTGGCCCAGCTTCTGCAAAAAGAGCTATTGACCACAAACGCAGTGCACACGACGTTCTATCAGTACGCCAAGCAGTGGTGGGAAGAGGTGACGCTGCTCCAGTCGACAAAGGCACGCGCCGTACGGATCTTCACCGAAGATGAAACCCATCGCCATCGCATGGTACTCACTTCAACTCTCGCCACGCGCCATTTTTTCGGGCTGTTTATTTCGAGCTATACAGGTGTGCACCTACATCGTGCCGCTGCAAAGCCGGTGCATTGCGACACCGACCGAAGCCGCGCGGTTCGTGAGTCTCATTCCATTCGTGCGCGCCGTGGCCATTGGCGGCGGGCACCGACAGGACGGGTGGAAGTCGCTCCCTGCCTTCCTCGCAATCGGCCGAGGCGACTGCGAAGAGCACGCGGTGCGACCTTTACTGTCACCTCGATTGTTCGGCATTGATGCTGATGGTGGACGTAGCTACTGCTTGCATCGCTCTTGCTCGGTTTTGGCCTAGATGCGTACGTGGTCATGGGTGCGCTCCAGCAGAAAGATGAGCTCGTCCCGCACACGTGGGTACTTTTGAAAGAAAAAGCAGGGTACGTTCGCCGGCTCGACCGTTTGTTGAGGAGCTTGCTCGTAGAGTGGTGCTCTGGGAAGCCGTCACGGGCGTGCGCTACCCGTGGCACGAGCCTCATCCGTACGCCCGCATTGATTGCGTCTTCAACGACCGCGCCTTCTTTGTGAGCCGCCAAAATATCGAATCGAATCTGCCTCTCAAAGCGATGCACCTCGACTTTCATGAGACCAAGCACTGGAAGAGCATGGAGTCGAGTTTGCTTCAGCAGCTACAGCGCGAGTGCCCTCTCGGTTTGGTGCCGCCAAGCCCCGAGCCGGACGGCGCCGCCCTCGAAGCAGCCGTGCAGAACCAGCTCGCAGACGTCCGCCGCGGCTACGGCTACACCACGCAGTGGACGTCGACGCTGAGTCACTACCTCCGACCTGCGCTCACCTCATATGAGCTCGAGCGCACGTACGGCATTGGCAACTTAGAAAACAACCACTTTGAGGTACCGTCGTCTCTACGTTCTGATCTGATCATCTAATATGTGCTTCCAAGATGAGCATCAAGCGCTACGTGCCCGAAGGTTCGACGTTCCAAGGCTGCCCAATCTTTGTCTCGAGCGCGCCTACGCTCTCCAGCGAAATGATTGTGCACAAGCTACTCCACGACGCGACGGCCAAGGCGCTGCTTCAAACCCACGCGCGCCCGGCCCAGTTCGGCTTGGCCATTCGCGTCTACAGCTACCCCGAGCGCATTGTCGGTGCGTGGGTCATGCTCGGCGTCGTGTACCGCCCTTGAGTTCCACATTCTTTCATCTAATATCTAAACCGGACAGCTACTGTGTCGCCTATCACGTGCGCAATGGCCTCGACTTAGTCGTTTGTCGCGTGGTTGGCCATCCAGCTGCCGATCGAGCCGGGTGCGACAAAGCTCGACGCGTAGCCACTCGAGGACGACGGCTCTGTCTTGGGCTTCTTCGAGTACCACCCGGAGGATGACGAGGACGCCGCCTTGCGACCTTTGGTGGCGCGCGCGTTTGTCTTCTTCTTGGCCTTGGCGGGCTTGGGCGCCTCGATCGGCACTTCGAGTGACGGATCGGTCGTCACACGCGCGAAAAAGTCCTTGACGTCCTGCACGGCAAACTCGGCGTGCTCGTACTCGAGCAAATGCCCTCGTGTCCACTTGGAGAGCTGGTTCGCATACCGCCCGGACCTACATAAACGATAAGTTGCGTGTCGATAGACGACGCGTGAGATACCGGTGGCGTGAATCCACGAGAAGGATCGCGCCATAGTCGAGCCGATGCCGAATGCACCGACCGAGTGCTTGGTTGAGCGCGCGGAACGCTTGGTGTTCGTACCACACGCGGCCGTTCGAGAGCTCTTTGTTGGACACCGACTTCATGTTTTGATACTCCTGCAAACGAGTGTGAGTTGCAATAAGATCGTAGGGACATGTACTTGTTTCAGCGCCACTTGCTGCTCCTTGATGTTGGGAAACGGAATGCCAATCGCAAGCACGGCCCGCGCATTGTCGTTGGAGAAATCAATGCCTTCGCTGACCTTGCCGCGGTACACGGCCATAAACACGGCGCCCGTCTTGGTCCTACGCACTTGTATGAGCAATTCGCTTGCAGGAGAGACACGACGGACTCGGTGCTGGGCTTCTCGTCGTTGCCGTCGCTGGACAAGTCGACGGTGGCCAACGCGGCGTCGGTTTTGCTCGGCGCGCGGTACTTTGTGATCACATTCTTGTACTCTTCGAGGAGGTCGTCAAAGTCCTTGCCTGCGCTCCGAGGCTCTGTAAACACTTGCTTGTGCTGCGCAATGTCGTCGAGAAGGCCAGTTTGCTCCCAGCGCGCGTGCAGCTGCGTCATGAGCCGGTACGAAGGCAGGAAAACGAGGATGCCGCCCGGAATGATCGCGCTATAGCTAGTTGCAAGAGGTCAAGTTGGGTCCAAAACCATACGCTCGACCTACCGCAGCACGAGTTGCCCAATCGCATCTTGGTACGCGAGGTCTTGCTGGTTGGAGTACGACGCGCTGAGATCCACACGGTTGTGTCCCGTCATGATCTAAAAACACCCATTTTGCCAGTCTTCCCCCAAGATGGCGAGCGTACCGCGCCCAGGAACACTTGTTTGCGCATGTCGACAACGTGGTTGGCCTCGAGCGTGATGGGAAACTTGGTCCCGAGCTCGCCCGCAAAGCTCGTCATAGGGCTGAGCGTGCCCGACGTCAAGACGACGCTGCGCACCTATCGTCAGCCAATGATAAGACTTGGAGAAGCACTGTGTAGAAGAATAGACCTGTGACGTGATCTCAGAAAAGGCCACGCCGGCGTGAAGGCACCAGAGGCAGACCTTGAGCTGCATCTGGGCCGCTTTCTTGCCGCCTACAACATCCAAGACGTCGCATTGGGCTCGGTAGACTGCAAGAGGATGACGCACCGCCAAACGGGCGGGACTTGATGGCCACGAGCTTGTAGTCGTCGACATGGTCGTCGCGGAACAAAAAATTGGCAACCGTGAGGACCGAAAGCACGCTGAGAAGCGCGACAGATGTGAGCTTGACTACGTAGCACGATCAGCATCAATCATCAAAAAGAAAAGAAAGAAAACACAATCAACGTACCTCCCTTTTGTTTGGTCTGCGAGGCGGCTTCGGCCGTGTTGCCGGGGTCGTCGTCGTTCGTGCGCTCTTCGGTCGCGACTAGACTCGTATGAGTACTGGTATGATGGACAACGAGTACCAGTGTGGTAAATCTCGATCGTGTCTTTAATGTTGGCAGCTGTCACACCGCAGTAATCACCGAGTATAGCCATCGCATCGGCGCCAGACCATTTTTGCGACTCGGTCTCGTACCTACATACATTAAATGACGAGAAATAGGCGTGGATTTGCCTACCCGTTCGGGCGAAGCATCCTTTCGCGATCGACGTAACCGAGCCAGCGCTTCCAGCCGTTGAGAATCCTGAGCAGCGTCAAGTACGAGGGACTCTTCATCACTTGGGCCTTAATCGTGATCTCAAACGACTTGGATGCGTCTTCGAGCTGGTCGTACGTCAGCTCCATGCTCGCGGACGACCGGCACACGTCCTCAATATTGTGCGCTTCGTCGAGAATCACAATCGCGCTCTTGAGGTCGATCTTGACCGCCGCACGGATCGTAGGGTCCATAATGTAGTTGTACGGGCAAAACACTGTTGATCTTCGTAAGAAGACGAAATGGAATGCGAGGTGTACCCAGCGTCGCTTGCTCGACTGCAGCGTGCGTGTAGTAGTACGGGCACTCGCGCAGCTCTTCGCCGACCTCGACGAGCTCTTCAATGTCCCACACAGGCGGTACGACCTTTCTCATCTCGTTTTGCGTCTTGAGCTAGAACCATTCACAAAGAGTGCATCCGATTATCGAAATGCAGAAATCAAAGTACCTTTTTGACAAACTTGCAGCTGTTTTCTTCGCGCTTCTTGGAGCACTCGTCGTTGATCTTGCCAGGGTCGAGGTTGCGCACGGCCGGATTCACGCAGTAGTGCTTCTTGGAGCCAAGCACGACCATCTTGACCTTGTCGGCGTGGGGGCAGCGTCGGAGCTCTTGGACGACCTACACGCCAGTCGTGTAGCGATCGTTCCATGGTGGAAGCAGAACCTGCGAGATTTGCGAGTGCGTCCGCGAGCAAAAGTAGATGGTCGGAATCTTCTCCTTGGCCACGGCCGGGATGTCGGCGGTCATCGACGCGGGCGTCGATGCAGTCGCTGATGGCGTCGTCGCGTACGCCACAAGCGAGTCGGGCAGCTGCCGCTTCTTGTCGAACTGGAACTGCGAGAACGAGACGGGTGCAAAATCGTCGTCAATGCTGGCAACGCTCGAATCGAGGTCGGCGGGCGACGCCACTGGCGCCGGCGCTTCGAGCTTGCGCTGGACCTCTTCGTTGATGCGCTTGTTCTCGGCCTCGCGGAGGTCGAGCATGTGCTGGCGCTGCCACGCGAGCGACGAGCAGAGGAGCGCGAGCGTCTTTCCGGACCCGGTCGGGCTCTCGAGCAGCGCGTTCTGCTGCTTCTTGAGCGCCAAGAGCACCTTGCTCATGACCGCGAGCTGGGACGGGAACGGCGTCTTACCTTCCGGGAAGTCGACCCCATAGCCCATGATCATGAACCCCGGCTTCTTCGCCGGCTCCTCGTACTTGACCTCCATCTTCTGCCTCGAGTTGCCGCGAAACCAAGCCGTGGTCCGGATTTACAACCAATCACTGGACAGAAGCACCCAATGAGCCAATCAGCACGGTGGTGGCGATATTGCCTTTTTAGCCAATCCCATGTGAAGCCGTTTTGGCGCGACGATGATACGGATATACCTGTATAAATGCATATTCACCGGATAAAATCGATCAAACCAGCTTCGCACAGCTTGCCACGACATTGAAAACCGTAGGCGTAGGTCCATCACCCGCCGCCGAGAGCTCGCTCGCCACGCGGCTACCTACAGGCTACCTACCAATGCTTGTAGACACGGCGGCGAGGAGGAAGCGTCCGAAACAGTACGTCCCGTGATGCAGTAGAGGCTCGTGTAACACAGCGACGATAGGGCAACGCGACACGATCGAGCGACAATGACGCAGCAACGTCGAACGTTGGCCGTGGCGCGAGGTACGCTTGCTTGCGCTTGCTTGTGACGCTATCTGTTTATTAATCGATGACTGTAGACCGGCGTCGAGAACGCCGACGCTATGAAGACGGCGACGAGGAAGAGTTTTCAGTGCCAATCTCGAGGTTTTTGAGGCACATGGCCGAGATCCACGCGGCCTCTTTGCCGTGCTTCAAGCAGCATTGGCGACTCCGGAACGCCTGGCAATCCTGGCCGAGTACAAATTTTTGGCGGCCGGCGTCGTCATCTCACTGCGGTACCGCGTTCGGACGCAATATGACGAGATGGCGATACCACCCGACCAGGTTCAAAAATCATGAGCCAGAACCAGTCTCGACCAGGCATCATCATCGTCCTCCTGCTTTGCGTAGCTTCATTCGTCCAGTCCCATTCCAGGACTATATGTGCGACTGGGACTGGAGCAATGCAAGATCGCGCTAAAGGCCGGGATTTCTTTTTGACCAATCAGAGGCAACGGCGTCGGCGATTTCGCGTGCAACGGTGGCATTTTTAACATTTTCACACCGATACCCTTGATCTATGTATGCAAAATAAAACTATCGAATTAAATATACCGGGATGAGTCACGCCGCAGTCGCGCAACTGTCCCATCCATGTCGGAGGTGTGCATCCTCAAGGGCCCGGACGACTTTAGCCGCTGGTGGAGCTCCGGGTCCCAGGACTACCAGCTCTACCTCGGCGTCGTCCTCCTCTTCTTCTCGCTCGTCATCGCGCTGCCCATGGCCAAGTTCGGGCTCTTCCTCCTGCGCTACGCGACCGGCGACGTCTACCTGTAGAGGCCTGTACTGCCGCTCGCGCTCACGCATGCGCGTAGGAAGCCCGACGAAGCGCACGAGATGCTGCTGTGGGAGACACATTGGCTGCTGCGCGTCGGTCTCTTTTGCTGGGCGCTGCAGGTCGTCGGGCTCACGTCGCTTTTGTGCCAATGGCCGCTCTGGGTCTTTGGCGTGCCATTGCTGCTGTGGGTCAACGCCGTCGGCAACGTCTACCGCCTTATCACGGTGCGCAAGGGCTCGGCCAAGACACTCCTCCACGAAGGCGTCACGGTACGATGTGCAATGAGAATGCTGCGAATCTCTCCTAATGGTCGCATTAGGTGCTCAAAATCCTCGTGCTCGTCATCTTGTTTTACTTTATCTACATCCTCGTGTTTCCTGGCATTGCTGAAAACATCATCCGCGCCTTCTTTACGGGTTTTTGCTCGCTCGTTGCGCTCGCGACAGTCCCCGTCGTCCGGAACGTCACGGGCTCGCAGTTCATCTTGTTCAACCACGCGCTGCGCCAGCGCCTCCATGTGTTTATGGCGTCGACGCCGCCCGGCATGCTCTTGGACGTGCCCCTCGGGTATGTCATTACGACCTGTGACGCGTACTCCAAGACGTTTGTGCCGGCCGGGAAGGCGCTCACGACGCCGCTGGTGATGTTTGCGGAAAACACGCCCGAGGCCGACGAACCGCGCTGGCCGCTCCGGCTCCGCATCCGGCTGCCACCGACGCTGCACGTGGCGGCTGTCCGCCGTTTCCTGCAAGACGTCGACAGTCGGCTGCGCAAAGCGGACGAGCGCGCGGCGCTGCACCCGCACCGGAACGCGATGTTTGCAGCGACGGCCGCCACCCCAACGCTGCTGCGCAAGCAACTACCGCCCACACGGTATCATCGTGTATATGTACTCTATGGATTTAATGAGGTGCAGGGAAGAAGACCGGCTCTGTGTGTCGATCGAAGGCCGCTGGATTGTCCACGTCTTTGGTGACATTGCGGCCAAGTCGCGCGAGGTGTTTCGCGATCGACTCTCGCAGGTACGAGGACACTAGCATCGATTCTGAGGACAAAGTCCATTGAGTAGAAGGTCCAACTGATTATGAGCATTGTGGAAACACATGCGCTCACGGCCAATCTCGAGCAAGCATGAACCAACTGCCGCGACCTATTTATTCTCCCACCACCGCGTTTATGACGTGGTATCAAGTTATCAAGTATTACGTGCACTGCCGTTGCCCACGGCAGCACTGCGCAAAACAAATGTGTGTCTAGTCGTGGTATGTGCCATCGCACGCGCTGTTTCCGGCGTATTCTTGCGCATCGCCAGGCTGGACGACACTAGTGGCACGATGGAATACGTCATGTTCACCGGTGTGATAGCGCAACAATTTCTCTCCGATCACAAATGCTGTGGACCCGAAGACCGCAATACGCAACACTGCATGCATTCAAAATGCTACGTCTCGGTGTCCTACTCGACCATGGCGTCGGTGATGGCCTGCGGCAGTTGCTGGCCATGGATGAGCTCGAGCGTGAATATGCGCGGCGTTTGGGTCGACACGGGTAGCTCCACGAGGGCCAGCGACCCTGCGTCGACGAACTCGCGCGCTTTTCCAGGAAGGCTCACAAAGAGCCGAAGAGGAAAGCGATTGGGGAGCGGGTTGGCCGCAGGTGACTTGCCGACGCGCACGGCGCTCCTCAAGCGTTCTGTCAAGAGGCCGGTCGCCTCGATGTCCTAGACTAGTGTGATGAGAGTATTCCACGAAACGTGCGCACCGGGACGGGCCAGGAGAGTCGAATCTTGCCGTCGTCAGCACGCTTGAGACGGGGCTTGCTACTTGGATACCGTTTCAATCATGTCGTGATCTCCATGCATCTATCTTACGTCTCGGGTCGTGGGAAGGGCAAGACGAGACGAAGGAGTAGCACGGTGGCAGTCGCCATGACAATGCTCGTCGTAGTGGACGCCTCGGCCCAGACGGGGCAAAAGCGACTGAGCCAACGTTCGAGCGCATCCCGACCGGGCGGGTTCAAACGTTTTCCAAAGCTTCCATCGAGCGCGCCGAGCAAGGTCGTCGAGTTGTCGGGCTGGTCCATCTCGAATACGGCGAGCGCCGACGCGAGCTACCATCCAGACAACTCAGCACCGGAAAAACTAATGCGCACGTACGTCGTTGTCGACGTCGGCGTTGTCGTCCTCATCAAAAAACGCAACTTCGTACTTGTTGACGTCCGCGTCCTCGCCGAGAAGTCTACGAGCATCGATCATCCTAAAGATGTGGTACGCGAGTACGTACGGTGCATGCGAGGGGCTGCCACGGTTGCGACTACCGTGAGTGGAGGCGCTACATGCAGTTTGGTGAGCGAGCTTTCGGCTTTTTTTGTGGACCTACGCCAACGCAATGAACTTATCGCGGTCGTCCTCGATGGCCGACGAGTTGAGGTCCGTGCTCATGTCGTTGCCAATCCAAATAACGTTGTGCGGTCTGTGATCCAAATCGCGGCAAGCTGTGTGCATTCGCTCTCAGATTCGACCGTTGCGCATCGTATGCGCATTTCTGGAGGTAATATATTCATGCAGTGCCATTATGACGCTTGCCAACTTGGGAAGGGACGCCGGCGCCCACGTCGTGGTCGAGAACTGGCAAGATCAGCTCGCTGGGTCGAGACTCTGGTTCTGGTCGATCAAATCTGGCCAACCAACATCGCGCATGCATGTGTTCTTCTTACAATTGTACGCATACCATGTCATGAGCGCTTGCTTGACCGAAGCGGATCACGTCGTGACCCTGCTTGACGAAAAGATGCAACGCTCGCCGAGCTTGACGCCCAGATCCTGCCTCAAGAAAATACTGCTACCATTTCCTCTGCATCCAGGGACGAGCTCAAGCCAGCGGCTGATTTGGCTGCTTCATATTTGCCGTCGTTTTGGAGCAGATTGGCCCATCAATTG